CATTAAGCAAATTTCCTTTAGTTCAATGCGCAGCAAGAGCCATGTAACAGAAGGCAAGACTGTATATCTCTTTTAAAGGCAGAGGCTTCTCTCAGCGAAAATAGAATCCAGGGAGTGGCAGCCGAGCCTCCCGCCAACCAAACCATCTTCACAAATAGTTTTTCTATTTTCAAAAGAATCATATATATTTTCAATCATGTTTAGACATTGTGTAGCTTGAAGACAAGCACACAGAGATTAACTGCCTTGTTGTGACCATTAGCAAAACAGGCCTGAGATAAACGGTCAGCTTAGAACATCTTCCCTGTGCCACACACAGAATTTTATTTTCTGTATAGCTCTCCGATGCTCTCAAGGGTTCACTCTATTTATATAAAGATTCTTTGCCTCCCCAAAGCCTGGAATGTTTATGTTTTAATACGTCATCTTCAAAGACTCCAGTGTGAAAAGAAGAACGCATTTTTAAAGACCTGTTATCTAGATCCCAGAGTTATTTACCAAAGGAAAGGAGCTTTTTAGTAGCAAATCTGTGTAGATCAGTGGTTCTCAAGAAGAGGCAATTTTGCCTCCGTAGAGGTCACTTGGAAAAAGTCTGAAGACACATGTAGTCAAAGCTAGTACCTAATGGGCAAGGCTAGGGGTTCTTTAAAGTGTCTACTGGGTCCAGGACAGACACATAGTAAGGGACTGGGTCAGCTAAGTGTCAATCAGACTGTGGCTGACCCTCCTGTAGATATTTTGGTTGCATACTGTAACACAACTTTGCTCATAATGGAACAGAACAGGCACCAGTGTCCTTGGGGACTGGCATAGATGGCGTGTTGCCGTGAGTACACACATCCTCCATTTCTCCACATTTCGGGTCAGAGAGAAGACTGTGATGCTGGGAGTGAGACTCAATTCATAACAGTTAGGAATTAGAGCTTGATATGGTAGAGGTGCTTTCTTTATGAGTCATGGCAACTGCCCTAACCATCTGTGGAGTTAGTACAAGGAACTGTACCTTCCGCTGATGTCCAGAGTGGAGGAGGGCGCCTTACTATCTGAGGATTTATTCCTCCACTGATACGCAGCATGAACTTGGGAAACTCCCTGGCTCAATGTCATTATAACGCATGGCTCTGGATGGCCTGTCACCTGCTGAGAACACATGGTCCTGTCTCTGTCCACATCTGAGTCTAGACTGTTTTATTTTTTAAGCCATATTTTTCACTCCCATCTTTTTCAAAGATCCACAGGGATGGTTTAATCAAGGTTTGAGAAACCCTCAAATTTTTCCATTGCTTATGCTCACAGATCCTGTGTTCATAGCTTCTATACATTTCTCACCTTTGGGGCACTAGAAAAGACATCCTTTGCTTGTGGCAGAGCCTAGGAAGGGGCCCACAGGGCTGGAATGAACCAAATATCTCCTTAGTCTTTCTTCTATAACACATTGAACTTGCCAAGGCAAATGCATCAACGTATTGTTCATAACTGTCAAGAGCGCCCGAATTTCAAGGCAGCAACTATCCAACTTTCAAAGTAAAGTCAAAGTGGTTGGCATTCTGTATCAAGCCCTTCATGATGTTTCATCACTACAAGCCTGGAACAATCAAGAGGCTGGACAGGGGCCTAAGACAGATTGTTTAACCTCTTTGAACCTCACTTATAAAGTGCTAACCAGAACTATAGTGACACAGCGCAATGGCCCCCAGAGACTCACCTGTGTGAATGCTCTTCCTATAGGGAGTGGTGCTATTAGGAGGTGTGGCCTTGTTGGAGGAAGTGTGTCTCTGTGGAGGTGGGCTTTGAGGTCTCATATGCTCAAGCTAGGCCTAGTGGAGCAGTCTCATTTTGGTGCCTGTGGATCAAGACGTAGAACTCTCAGCTCCTTCTCCAGAGCCATGTCTGACTGCATGCCGCCATGTTTCCCGCCATGCAGATCATGAACTAAACCTCTGAAACTGTAAACCAGCTCCAATGAAATGTTTTCCTTTATAAGAGTTACCATGGACATGGCCTCTCTTCATAGCAATGGAAACCCAAACCATGACATGAGTAATGTGAGTTAAGAACAATGCCTTCATCTTAGAAAATATCTTGGCAGGGCTAAGCATGCCCATGGGGACCCCAGGACCCAAACTGATTACATGTCAGAATTCCAGAGAATAAGTACAAATCTCTAAAAAGTTGCCAAGGACAGCCTCAAATCACTGTGTAGACAGAAGGACCAAATAGCACTGATGTGCCTGTGGGTAGAATGCATTCTGTTAGCAACAAAAGCTATCAGAAGGCAAGAGGGCAAAGTTTACGGCTTCAGGAGGAAAACGAAGTCAGACCTTGAATCATATACCCGGCCAGAATCTGTGAACAAAGGTAAGATAAAGTTGTTCCCAGATATGCAATAGCACAAAGAGCTAACTACTCACAAATCCCGTGTGCAGATGTTACCTGGAGGGCTTGCTCTAGCAATCTAGAAATAAAGTTTTGTTTCTTTGGGTTTCGTTTGTCTGAGACAGGGTCTCATGTAGCCTAGGAGCTAGCCTCAAACTCAATATGTAGTCGAGGATGAGCTAGAACTTCTGGTTATTCTTCCTCCGTCTCCCCAGTGCTAGGATGGGAGGTACACACCATTATGGCCAGTTTGATGATGAACTGGAATAAGAGAGGACCGTGAGGCATGGGAACACGTAATAATGAAGTGTATCCGGAAACGGACAGGCAAGCCAGGACACAAACTGTAGAATCACTCAGACTAAAGCAGCAGTGCTCAGCGCAGGATGACGTTACTCCCCAACAGATTCCTTTATGAGTAAGATTTATCGAATCATAATAGTTACACAGTGTTTCAGAGTAATATCTGAGGACAAAGCATGTAAGACGTAATTAAAGCTTGCTCATTGAGTTTAAATGTTATAAACCTCAGCAATAAAAGATAATGAAACAAAGCCAAATTGGGAAGTAGAGAGGATCGGAGAGTGAAGATAAATATGTAAGCATACATCTTATTTTATGTATATATAATAGACAGCAAAGAGGTACTGTCTAAACCAGATAATGTAAGAATACAGAACTATGGGACTTAGGACAACTGCTCTTTGTAACTCTTACTTTCAACATTTTCCAGGATGCCTCAGGCAATGAGGTTGGCTAAGACATATATGTTATAAGCAAAGAATTGGAAAGGAGGCAAAGAAAGGATTTACTCTTTGCAGATAACATGTTTCCATGATACAGTACCACAGCGAATCTTCTCAGAAACCATCGCACATGGTAAATGAGCCCTGTACCTGAGTAGAACATGTCAGGAATTGATAGCCTTAATAAATGATAAGGAGTGATAACCTCTGCAGAAACAGCAGAAGGTAAATCACCAGGAAGAAACTTACATGGGAAATGCAGAAAACCTTTCTGAGAAAAAAAAAAAAGAAAGAAAGAAAGAAAACTCGACATTCCCGGTAGAATCAAAGTGAAAGCCAGCGATTAGAAGGCTTGAGAGCCTGAAGGTATCTATCTGCGTACCCACGCTATCTCACAAAAGGTTTTGGTTTGTATGTGAATGCTCCCCCACATGTCATGTGTTTGAACATATGGCTGACAGCTACTGGCATTGTAGAACCTTTATAGGGTGGGGCCCAGCTGGCAGAAGGAAGCGTTGGAAGACTCTCTTGAAGAGTCTCTACATCACGGATAGGGCTGAAAGGAAGTTGCTGTTTGGTCACCTGCGGCTATGTGACCCTCTATCTCAGCTCTATCTCAGCAATGCAAACTGAGTCTCTCCTGCCACCATGTCTTCCCGGTAAGGACAGACTGCAACTTCTGGAAACCATGAGCCAAAATACACCCTTCTTCTGCTAAGCTGTTTCTTTTGTTGTTCCAGCATTCAGAAGAGGAAAAAGCACACAAATGTAACATGCTCCGAATTGAAACATTAGGTAGCAGGATTTAAAAAAAAAAAAATTCCATTTCATGCTGGAAATTAAAATGCTGTATACAACCTCAACCGTTAGCGGGATGAGTTAGCGTGTTATGCGCGCAGAGAAGACGGGAGTGACAGAGCCCACGCACAGTCCAAGCGGGATCCAATGAGCAGATCACAGACATTGCTCCAATGCAATGCTTCTTCTTGTGTATATTATATAAGGATGAGATGATTAAGCAGTGTATCCATCCGCTCTCATTCTCAACTGTCTCATGAAGATGCTAGGAACCTTCTAGCTATTTTTAGATAAATTTTAAACAAAATTTTTAAGATAATTTTGTGGAGACAACCACACAGCCAATTGAAATGTCTCATATAAACTCCAAAAAATAACTAGAAGAGACATGCATGCAGGTTATTATTATTATTACTATTATTACTATTATTATTATTATTATTATTATTATTATTATTATTATTATTATTA